CTTCTTAGAGTTAGAGGAAAATCAAATCGAAAAAAGTCGAGAGGGGGGAACAGAAGAGTGTTTTAAAGATGTAAAAGAGACAGACACGAAGGAGGATGAAAGGTGAGGTGAGTACCGCGAAGTGGTCGAATATGTCATACAGTGGGGTGATGGTAGTTTGAAGTGAGGAGTCAACTGCCGGTTAACAGACTTTTTTGCCGTATGGGTATACGTTGCCCAGGGTGCACCACGTGGAGGTAAGTCTATCGCACACCGCACACTTTTAAAATTGGTCGGTGGAAACCACGTCATTTCAAGATACATCACTTTATCGATAAACCGCTCTACGATGACAAGTGAACCAGGACGAAGGGTGTGATTAATTAGTATGTTCAGTGGGCGCTAATTCTAAACAAATAAGTCATGTCCAAATTTCAGTAATTTCTTCTGGCAAAATCCCCTTGCGCGTGGAATTGCTTCCGTTAGTAATTAAGCAACTTCAACAGTATCGAGAACGCAAAGTGAATAGAACAGTGCTCATCGCAGCTAATAGCTAACTGGCACAAAGATTAGTCAAAAAATGCTTTATGCTACACCATGTTGTATCGACTATTGATTTCTACCTAGCTGGGAGGTCTCTGAGCTCTTGATCTCACCACCCTCGATACTTGATCAGTAATACGAGTGCGCATGAGGTCTTTTTGGTCGTCATAATCCATTGAATGAGATCTTGTTGCGTATTTTAAGGATTATCCAGTACCGATATTTCCTACTTGAAGACCATATGTTATGCTATTCGCTTAACTCATCAGTAGGAATTACAATGATAGTTGCAGAAGGGGAGGCAACTTGACAGGCAGTTCCCTATTTGTATTTGATTCGAGAAAATCACGAGACAACCACGACAGTAGGTTAGCTAGATGAGATTTGGACTATTATCAAACTCTCAGCGTGTTAGGCCAAAAGGTGTAGGCGTGACCAAGTTGCTCAGACATGTTCACCCTGAGATAGTCTGTTCCTCTCTAGGCAATTAGTTCTCCAAATACGTTTCTACTGCAAGCCTTAATATCATACATGCAAGGTGTGCGATAGACTTACCTCCACGTGGTGCACCCTGGGCAACTTATACTCATACGGCAAAAAAGTCTATCAATGGGCAGTTGACTCCTGACTTCAAACTACCATTACCCCACTGTATGTCATGTTCGAGCCCTTTCACAGTACTCATTTCACCTTTTTCCACCTTATCTATTGGGTTGGCAACTAAGTCATTGCCGTTTTTGTTGACAGATTCACTCTATACTTTCTCTTGTTTTGTTAACGTGGCCAGAGCATCTAACCTATATTTTTTTCTTACTGTATGGGCTTCTAGGTTAATTAGTAAAAATTTTTTGTTTAGTTCTTTAGTTTTGTTTTTATCCCAATATAAAAATGAAAGAACAGGACGTGCACTTCCCACGCATTTTATTGTATTACTTCCGAAAAGGCAAGAACGCATCGCAAGCACAAAAGAAATTATGTGCCGTATATGGAGATGAAGCCTTAAAAGAAAGGCAGTGTCGAAATTGGTTTGAAAGATTTCGTTCCGGTGATTTTTCACTGAAAAATCCACAACGATCTGGCCGCCCAGTCAAAGTGGATGAAACCCATATCAAGGCCATTATCGATTCAAATCGTCACAGCGCAACACGAGATATTGCAGAGAAGCTCAATGTGTCGCATACATGCATTGAAAAAAATTATAAATCCTTGGTTATGTCAAGAAACTTGATTTATGGATCCCTCACCAGTTAAAGGAATTCATTTGACGCAACGGATTAGCATCTGTGATTCGCCGCTACTGAAACGCAATGAGAATGATCCATTTCCGAGGAAGAACCTAGTTACTGGCGACGAAAAGTGGATAGTTTATAACAATGTTACTCGGAAGAGATCATGGGTGAAGCAAGATCAACCAGCCCAAACAGTATGAAAAGCAGAGATTCACCAAAAAAAGATTATGCTGTCTGCCTGGTGGGATCACAAAGGAATTTTGTATTTTGAACTCATGCCGCAGAACCAAACGATAAATTCAAATGTGTATGTTGAAGAACTCGAAAAACTGATGTCGGATCACACCTAATTCAGTTTTTTAATAGCAAAGACCAGACATTTTACGAACGGGGAATTTTTACTCTGCCAGAACGATGGAAAAAAGTCATCGACAAGAACGGCCAATATCTAATTGAATAAAGTTATATTTTTAAACAAAATTTCCGGATTTGCCTTCTTATTTGAAATCGGCAATGACTTAGTTGCCAACCTAATACCTTCGTCTTTGAAACACTCTTCTGTTCCCACCCTCCCCGCCCTCTCGACTTTTTACACTTTGATGTTCCTCCCCCTCTCTGTGAAGCCTGAAGTCAACTAAAGGGCTAATGATAACCATCAAAACGCCTGCAATTTGATATAAATAATATAAATTAATATCATACATGCGGCGGAAATGAGGTCATTCTTAAGGGGGAAGGATTTAAAGGGGCCGGGTTGTTGTAATTTCGGTTTAAAGTGAGATATTGATTGCAAGTAGTTTTACCATACACAAGCGGTGGCTGCCCCAACACACTGCATTGTTTACGTCAAACAATAAATCATTAGGAGAATGTAGACACATTGTATAGAACTCCTAGGTGCGTTGTGCAAGCGGACTTATTGATGTTCATTTAATCGATTAATTGAAATAAAATATCTTTAACTGTTTTCATCGGTGATCAACACCATTTTTATCGGTAACGGGATAAAATTAATCAATAAAATGTGCTTGGGCCAAAATGCTGGCCAGGAGATAATCTTAATCAAAGAAGTAATTACGTTGTTCGATTGTAAAGTGAGTTACAATTCGTATGCTGCTACTATTTAAGGGAACAATTTCTGACAAAAAACTGTCCAAACAACAGCAGGCAGACATGTCGTAAATTCTAAGTACCATTTGAGGGAGTTTTATGAGAAAAGTCAATACACACAAATTAAAAACCATCCAAACCTGGGGCTATTCCATTTGATGGAATCCAGGTGACAAGATTTCTAAAAGTACCTTTCGTTAATCAATAAATCTCCTTAAAATTGAGCACATTATTAAGTGCCATTACGACAAAGCACCCACCGAATATCAATGTGTGCTTATTGGGAATTTAGGGTAGGGGAGGGAAGACCTTGTTTTAAAGCCAATTTTTTCATCCATTTGTTTGGTCAGCGCGTTGGTCTTGGCAACCACTTGAGAAAAAAATTAACCATCTTCTTCTTCTTTCTTTTGTGTGGTACTAATCTAGATATCCAGGGTCCACTCACCATCTATTTATCACGTCAGTCGGGGTAGCCCCACAGATGCGTGGTGTTTCACTCTCAAATATCTCAAAGTGCGTCAAATTAGGTTCCGCAATTATGCTTTACTTAAAGACCATTCATATTGATTTTACGATCATTAGCTTGCAATCTACTTCGAAATGAGAGTATTCTCTATGGCGGAACTTAGCAGCCAATAGAAATTAGTAGAAAACCATCGAGTTCATCTATAGGATTAAGTCATCTTTATTGCTTTGCCTATTTTCCAAAGTTCGGAGGCGCTATGCTTGTTGAACCAAGGTTACTTTGGTTCATATTTGCAAATTTAAATAATGGAATTCCGCCAACGATATATGGGAGATTTTTTATTGCTATTTGTTGACTTCAGTTGGCAATAAAAACAGTCCTTATCCAAAGTTTCTGCGAGACACTATTAATCTGGTAGAAATACGCAGGAGACAAAGACGATCTCGCTTATAGTGTTATGTAGACTTGGAGAAAGGACGTAGTCATTTCAAAACTAGGACATTTGAGGGTCTTGGAGTTTAACACTTTAACGCCCTTAGGACTGTACGGTCCTCTTTCAATATATGCCCCATTGTTACTAGACTCGCAACAGAAGGGGCTTTTGCCGTTTGAGGCATGTTCAATGCCGTCTATAGTCTTCACCTGATGCACCAACAAAACTCATCACGTCGGCGGCATCAGTCTGCTGTGGGACGCGTGAGTGCGGTTTGGTGCATTTTCAAACAAAAAATAAACCGGGCGTTGAAGCAACTGCAGTCTAGACACACCTCATCTGTGTCATTGTACTCATAACCCATGATGAAGTAGATGAGATGTTGACAAAAACACTGCCCACCTTCCACCTTCGAATCTTAAGTAGGCTGTTAGATAGTACAATTAAATATGAAGGAAGCGCAGGGTTCAGGGCGATCAGCAAGGCTCTGACCCCAGGTGGAGGCTCAGCATTGCACTCCGCTGTGTTGAAGCCCGAGACGGACTCTAATTGGGTTTGCCCGGGTGCGCAGTTTTTGCTAGTGGGGAGCCTTTGGGCATCCCTTTCATCAAACAGAACAGAAAAGCCATTTGGTGTGTGCGATAGACTTACCTCCACGTGGTGCACCCTGGGCAACGTATAGTCATACGGCGAAAAAGCCTATAAACCGGCAGTTGACTTCTCACTTCAAACTACCATCACCCCCACTGTATGTCATATTCGACCCCTATCACAGTACTCATCTTACCTTTTCTCTGCCTTTGTGTCTTTCTGTCTCCTTTATACCTGTGAATCATTATCCTGTCCTCTTCTCGACTTTTTGCCACTTTGATATTCCTCCTCCTCATTGTGAAGCCAGAAGTCAACTAATGGGCTAATGATAACAATCAAGACGCCTGCCATTTTAAATGAATATGAAGGTCAGTAAGGTCCAAGCAGCAAGTGATTACAATTGTTGAGAGAAGGCGGCCATTTGCCCCATGTCCGCCTATCTACACCAGCATGGCTGCAACCTACTTCTAACACTCTCGGGGCTTATATTGAAGTAAAGTGAACTCATATCCTCCGATCATGTGCCGAGCCAATTTCCAACGATTAAGACGCTATGCCAAGATAATTCCGACCACCCCCCTCCCACCCCTCACATTTGCTTTCCTCCATTGTCCCTAAAAGGCATAAAGCTTTATAGTCTCCTACTGAGTCACCACATTACGATGGAGTGTTCAGGATTAACAATGAGTTCCGAGCTGTGCAGAATTTTGCATCCCACGGCGTGCAGAGGACAAAATACTAATGTCGCTTTTTTATAGCACCCCGGTGGGAGAAGACAGACAAGACGCACGTCTGAAAAGAATTCAATAGGAAAGATGATAAACAGATAAGGAGTCACGTGACACGTATAACAGCCGGAATGGGGTCAAGGAAGACAACCTAAGGTGGCCGGCTTTCAGTTTAGTCTGACGGCAAATTCTCAGATAATTTATTACTCAAAATACAAACTTCTCTACCAATCACCTTTTTTCAATGACGAATATAGCACGTCTCGGTTTCTGTCAAATGTCTAATAGTGAAAAATAAAAGGCTAAAAAAATAAGTGGTGAAATATTGTGCTAAGACGTAGTAATCTCCACTTGAACAGATCACCTTCGAGTGGCTCTAACTGAAAAAAAACACTTAATAACGTCAAAAATCCCGGTGAGACCAAACAATAGAACTGGAGGCTGACTTCTACGTGGGAACGCTTTAGATTATTTTTTTGTCCAAGAAGCCAGAGTGATGCCTTCATATCTTTACCATTCAACACAGTTATTTTCATGTCTAGATGCCACCCGCATTGCTGTCTCTCTCACCTCCCCCTTTCGAATTCTCCTAGTCTTTGAGTGCTAACTTTTGCTAGCTTTAGTCTTATCTTCTCCAATTCGGTAACACAACCACAACAGGTGTACTACAATGGTTACCCAGACGAGCAGAGTCGAAATTTCAACAATAATAAAGCAAGGCTTACACATTTGTAATCATTCTTTTTGTTTGGTGAGGGGTGAAAAAAGGCGCGCAGTAGAGGATTAATTAACAGGCATGGGTGTGGTAAGGGGGTACACTCGGGTCATCGAAGAAGCAACCATTTTGTTTTGTTCGTTTTCCTATTTTGCAATTGGGCAACAGAGCTACTTTTAAGGCCTAAGGTGTTTGGCACTGCAAGGGCACAGGGTGATTAGAGGTCCAACTCAAACGGTTCCTCTTCTGAAATTGGAGAAAGCGGTAATTAACATTTAATGAAATGACTTAAACAAAGACAGACAAATCACTTGTCACGGCATACAATAGCAAATCGTTACATCTAAACGAGTTCCGTACTAATAATAAACATATTGTTCAACCTGCCAATAGAACATACGAAAATTTTAAACCTATTTACGAACTTTCAAAACGGTCGAAAGCAGAAAATATAAAAAAATCTCCAAAAAGTATCAGCAAAAAACAAGGCATACCCTTATGGGGTGGCTGATTCTCTAGACGTTCTGATGTGGCAACGGGTTTCTGCGCAGACTTTTGCTCAGTGGCAGGTGCTTTCAATAAATTGCACTCGCCATGGCAATTCAGAGGGCATGTGACACCAGGGCAACAAACCATACCCACCGGAGGTGAACGAGCAATAGGAGAATTTTTGCACATTAGAAGCGTGTCTCTGTCATAATAAATCCTTGTTCCACCGGGAGTTGTGCTAAATATACTACCTCCTGGGGTGGAGCTAATGCAGACAAAATATACATTAAATTTGAAAAATAAACTAAATGCAGAAAAAAAAATCGTAAGACGCTTAATCATACTTTCAGATATAGCGTTCTCAGTTAATCAGTAGAATTATACGAATTAGAGATTTGTCGAACAAAATTGTTTGCGTAAAATTTGCATGAGTAGAAACATTATGAATCAAAACTCACCTGTAGTCATTAGGAAGTTGGCTGCGATCAGAATATTTAACTCTTCTGAGTGGAACGTCTTTTGATGCCATATGGATGTCGATCTGGGTAATAAAAGCCGATTAGAGGGGTAAAAACAAGCGATTAACGGTGCAGAAGAAAATAAAGTTCGTGTCACTCCAAGGTCATCATAACTAAAGACATAAATAAGCATATATAAAGATTCTTAGAAAACACCTAAAATCTCTTATAATTTATGGCGTTAACAAATCGTATTCATTTTTATTTCATTGAATTTTAAATACATTTTGATCAAAATTTTTGGTAAACTGAACGAATTCTTTTAATTCCCAAAAGAATTCGATCTAAATTTGTAAAACATATAAATATTACTAAGTTTATGCCGTTAACAAATCTTATTCATTTTTATTTCATTGAATTTTATATATTTACCAAAAATATATAATGATAGCCACGTCAAGGTTGTCCTCAAATCTTTTATTTTTAAATGTCATGTCCACTAACTCATCTCTGCATACATTAGCCATATCTTTTCATTTATTTTAGTCACCAATAAATGCAGACATTTGATTCCACTTTTCAGTTGCTCAATTATAGTTTTTAAGAGGTAATGTAAAGACCTGAATATTACAGTTGAAATGAAATTGCACTTAAACTCAGAAAGGAGTACTTATATACTTTAGCTGCAGCAGACTTTAAACTTCATTTAACTATCTCTATTAAGTTGATGCAAAAAAAGCTGACGTGAAATGTAAAATTAAAACGCTCCCAAGTTTGACCACACCTATATCAGTAAAATTCAATTCAAGATTACCAAATCTTTATATTACGTAATAGCTAATTAGTTTTTGATAAGTTAAAAACTTTATTAACCATACACAAAGGTCTGCTTTTCCTGATTAACTTAACAGTAATACAAAACATTTCATTAATATAAACATTGATACCAGATTATTTTTAATCGAAATCGTACATGGGATATTGGCCACTATTTATATAGTATTACAATGAAAGCGGAGAAGAAAGAAAATATGCTTGTCGATTTGCCTATCGAGTCAGACACCGATGCGATTGTTTGAGGGCAGGCTTAAGAGGTGTTGATGTGGTTTTCGGTTTTTCTGGCCGTCTCCTCGTATCAGTCTGTTTTGCAACATCTTCTGAATCTCCTTCCATGGACAAATCACTCACTTCCTCTGCCTCGTCACTTTCTTGGCCGAAATTTCCCTCGTATTCATCTTTTACTTTTTCCCCACTCATTTCATCAATAACATCGTCATCTTCATCGTCTTGATCATAAGTGTCACCATCACTATCGACATAATTCTATTGAGGAAATTTAAAAGTTAAATCATTTTATATAATTCAGAGTGTTAGAAATAAAGTCGCTGATACCTCTCTATCCTGTTAATCCAACTTTATTGAGGGTCACACAAAAGTATTTGCGGCATTGTACTGCTCTTCTGTGAGCACATCAACTCCCAACAAAGATCGTATTATCTCAGTACCATTCTTGAATTAAAGTTGAATAGTACATCTATTGCAATCTTATGTTACACAAGCCCCCATGGGCTTCAATTTCACAGACTCGACTCTGCATTACTTCAGAAATTAAAGGGTATACTAAAATCGCATCACTAATCGGTTCATTTGCAGTTATAATTCCAAATGCTAACTTGATTTACGAATTAATGAGAACGGCTTAGGTGAGAGTTTATCATACCGTAACATGTGTCTTAAATGAGACACAATGAAAGAGTCTTTAAAATCACATTATTTTTCACCACATCAGACAAATGCTTACAAACAATTTTCTAAACTATATAAGCTGGTTTTAAATTAAACTGAAGAATTTAAAGAATATGCTTTCCCACTTTTTCTTCAGCTTCGCCACAACCAACGTCGTCTACACCACTTCTAGAGCAATCTTTTCATTCCAAGACACGGCTGATTCAAGTGATTGGAATGTAGAGTATCTTTTTACTTCCAGATACTTCATCTAGTTAGTACAAGTGGCATTTGAAACACTATTTATTGAAATTGGCACACTGATCAAGGGGTACGAGAACCGTAAAATCATAAATTGTATTTTTTTGGTGACAAAATTATGGGATCACTTATAGTGAGGAACACAACATTGATACACAACAGAGAAAACAATGTGCTTTAGGAAGATTCGGGAGTTTGTAATCCTCAAACCTTAAAAAAATAACAAATAGCAGTATTTGTTAATAGATTCTATGCTATACTACTGGCAAAAAAAGAAACGACAGTAGGACTACTTAAATGGACTCACTAAATTTTCCCGTTGATCAACGGGATGAGTTGATGAAGTATTTAAGATGGGAACACTCACGGCCTTGATTGAGCAATTAAATAGATTTTTTAAATATTAAAGTAAAGAGAGTATAAGCATCCAAGTGTTAACGCTTACTTGTCGAATACTGGTATTCAAGCTGCCTGAGAGACCAGAGCGGAATAAAGTATTTCGAAAGTCGGCTAAATCCACATCTTCCTGCAGGGATTGAACAACATTGAAGGCGTTTGTAAGTGTCTCAAGGGCTTTAGCATGCCAAAGCATCTCAATATGCACAAAATCCGTCAGGATTTCCTAGGTAGAAGTAAGTGGAAATCATTACACCAACTCAGCAAGATGAGACATCTATAATTCTCATATCAATGGTAAGTTGAGTGGAGATACTCATTAATGATTCGTAAGATTTTGTTTGACACAACATCTAGGGATATAAACGCGCATCACCAGGATCAATATAAACATCTTGATCATCTTGGGTATGCCTCCAGAATGTCTTAAAATGTAGTTATTTTTTTTCTGACAGCTTGATCAATCTTGTACTGGTAAACCCCAAACGCCCAGTTGTTAACATACACTCTCACCCAGATCTTATCAATGTGCAAAGACCTTGAAATCTGTCAATTCTCTTATTGTGAAGGAATAGACTCTCTTTATCGATTGTAGAGTTCCACCCACTAAATATTGACGCCTTTTCCCTTCTCTCACAACCCCCACACTTTCTCTCCTTACTCATTTTCAATGCCTCCAATGACTGGAAGACTGCTAGTCATCAGTTGATAGACACATTTTAGTCAAGACTGCGGGGTTTGGATTTACTTCTACTGTAGAGAAATAATGAATAGCAATTATGATCGACCCACTTTTAAACCTTTCAACTTCTTTGCCTCAAATTGAACTACGTGGTTCTCCAATGCCTCTGCAGAACGAATCGCATCACGAGCTGCATTATTAATACGATCATCCGACTGAAATAGATATGCACGCAAAAAAAAGGAATGATTCACCTTTTGAGTGCTCGATAAGTAACAATTTATGAGATTATGAATTGTAACCTACTCTTTTGTGTGGATCCCGACTAAGGCGTTTCAGCTGGGAGACTTCTTTCTTGCGTGCAGCAGTCTCCACTTTAATATTCGTCTTCAAAGTCAATTAAGAAATAATATTAATATTATGAACGTAGTGCAAATATGATTGTATTTATTTGGTAAAAGTGGAAAACCCCTTATTTGTTGCCTCATTATAAGAGCATTAAAAATAGAAATAGGTAGAAACAACATCTTCAATTAATATCTTACAAAGCCGTCATAAATACTAATAACAAACACTGAAAGTGAAACATGAACACAAATACCTGAAGTACCGACTTCTTAAAATAAGAAATGAAAAGTTATCACCAAGGTTAACATTTTTTCCCTGATAAGCATATTGGAGATTCTACAAAGTCTTCATGATACTTATTTGCAAGAAGAATATCAATATCGGAAGCTGGGTCTTAGCTTCGCAATGTACTTTATAGATAAATTTAAATCGAGTAGTTAGAAAGATTTTTACACTCTTCCTGTTTCTTGAAAACTATAGTAACCAACAAAAGGAAGGGGAGTCACAATCGTTGTCAGTGAACAATGAACCACCGGATTTAGACACCAACATAAAATACATTCATACAATAGAGCGTGTCGACATTTGCTAACGTATAAGATAAAGTAAAATTCCCCAAATATATATATTTAAAGAAAAAATATTGAAAAACTAAAAATGATAGTTTTAATTAACAAGATTTAGTAATACATCGTAAAAATAAGATATGCAAGATTAAAGTATATTTAAAGGCCTACAAGATTTATTTTCGGTTCGCTTAAAAAAATGGCAACGAAATTTCTCAATCAGCACATAAGATCCGAATGAGTTCAATTTGACTGATTCATATATCAAACGTTATTAAAATTTTGGTTTTGGATCAAATAAACTATACTAAATGAAATAATTATGTGACTATATCTACTAACACACCCATTGCTCGCAAAGGATAGATGAAGTTGTGTCTTATTGGGAAAAGCGATATCCACGTACTTTTATGTGCTTGACCTCATCGCCATAAGTGGATAAAGGAGTGATGACTTTAGCTAAAAGTCGATCAACTTCAGCGTGTCTGTAATCTTCAAGTAGTGAAAGGAGCTCAGCGAATTGCTTCAGAGTTCGTGCAGTTGTACGATTTATTTTCTCATTAACTGAGTAGTTGAGTAGAATTTTAGACAATTCATCTCCTAGACATGTAAAATATCACAAATAACTAAATGAAATTACCATTATTTCTGAGCTTCGCTGTTCTCTTCGCATAACTAATGAATTCAGTACAGAGATCTCCAAAGTATGTTTCGATTTGAGAAACACGTTCATTGAAAAATTTTGATTGAGCTTCACTATAAAAGCAGTATTTTAAGCAGCAAATAAAATTAAGTAGAGTATCAAATCATTAAATTGATGAAAGGTAAATGTCATTATGCTTAAAATTTAGTAGTTATATGAATATATTTATGAGATATGCTTAAATTTGAAGGTAAACACACGTCTCTTTAATTTCTGTATTTAATTGTACAACACTTCGTGAAACAAATGACTGCATTTTGATTAAGGCGGTGTTAGTAAAAGCTATTCTAAAACGCTTAATGTAGTTAATTAAAACGAGTGATTCGCCAAATAATTATACTTTAAGACACTTGAGTTTTTAAACTATTGGAAATCTAAAAGACGGTTGAAATTTTTATATAATTGAAAGGATATTATGAGTACTTCGATTCATTAGTCTTACCTAAAATTCATGGAAATTTGCAGATATATCACAAGCAAGTTTTGGCTAAACCCCAGCAAACTATCCCATCAAACTTCCTGATGATTAAATTGATAAAAGCAGCTTGCGTACCCCGACAATACAGATGAAATAGAGCGCTAGGAGTGAATTGAGCTTATTGGTGTATCATTGGCAAAATAATCGCTTGTTAACTGATCAGTACCACGGTCGCATCTTCCAAGCTGTTCAAATACGCATCAAATTCCCGTGTTAAACCTTGGTAACGTAAGGCACCTAACACTATTCAAGCAACTATGCACTATCAATAATAATAGCAACGATCGGTAGCAATTCAGAAGTTATATTTAGTGCGCTAAACGTGAGATACACAGCAGCAAAGCTAGGGAACATCCCGTTCGACCAAATAGCTTCGGTATAGCCTTGGATATTTATACAAAAAACGAGTAAAACGGTGCACCAAATCAAAGAATATCATCCGAATATTAAGAAGCAATTCGACAATATAAAAAAGAACAATACGACAATGAAAAGAATAATTCGTGTGTGCAAAGTACAATAGTAGCGAAGAGAATATGTTGGAATGGCGTTTTACAACGAAGACAGGCGATACAGGAGATATGATGAAGAGAGAAAAGACACAGCCAAAATCACTTCGGTCGGTTCATTTTGTTCACACCATGCGCAGCTGATAATCACCGTTTTGTGTGATATAGCGAACCCACGGCAGAGCCGTGTATCCACTCTTTTCAATAATCTTTAAATACAAGACCTGAAAAGAAGCAAGACAATGATAGCAATTTGCTGTTATAAGCAGCGCGCAAAGGAGCGAGACTGGAGTCAACGCATACCTGGAGACCAGAGACAGTGAAGTAGGGGATTTCAAATCGGACTGAGATGGGAGGCCGTGATTCAGCTGACGTATCACCTTCCACAGAGGGCAAGCCGAAACAAGCCCGCATAATGTATTCTTTACCACCAGGGAAACTCTTTATACTCCATACAACTCGATTCTCCTCGGGGATATATTTGCAGGAACCAACTGCAGTCTTGAATCGAGGAGAGTCCACATCGCTAGGGACTGGAATGTGAATCTCTACTTGATTCGCCGTACTCCGGCGCTTAAATTGTGCTTTGGCCTACAAAGACGTGTCAGTTGCAAACAATTAAAGCATCAGCTGTAGCTCCTTGTGATAGTAATACAATTTTTCGGCGTGACAACTATTTTATGTGCACAGAGGCAAAAATACTGGGGTCAAGCAGAGATGAAATACTTCAGTGCTATTCATGATACATAACTACTAAACGGCAGTATCAGGAAACAGGAATAAAGCGATAAATGGAAATCTGAACTTACTTACCGATTTCCCCC